CACAGGATCTAAGAGGAAAAAAAAAACAAAAGGTAAAGCTTCCCCACCACCACTCACATCCCAGGAAGAAGACAGTAAGAAGCAGAGGCCCCTTTAGGGAAGGGTGCAAGACAATTCCGTGGAGAAAAGCCCATATTCTTCTGCAATAATTCAGCAGTGGACAATGGAGATCCACAAGCAAAAGAATGAAGCTGGACCCTACTTCACATCATATAAAAAATATACTCGAAATGGATCAAAGACCATTGTGAGAACTAAAACTATACAAGTTCTTAGAAGAAAACATAGTCATTAATTTTTTGACCTTTGGATATAGTAAGGTTTTCTATGATGTATGGCCCAAGCCCGTCTCGGCCTCCCAAAGTGCTGGGATTACAGGCTTGAGCCACCGCGCCCGGCCGGTTCCACCAGTTTTACGCTGCCTTTCTACTCTGTTCTTGCTGTCTCCCTCTTTACCTGAGTCAACGGTACCGAGTCCTCTCTCTCTCCAATGTTTCCCAGTCTTTCTTGGTGCATGTTCTAGCTCCACACACTAGTCCTTAGAGGAAGGTCAAGACCAATGATTTCCTGTTATGAGTCATGAGGAAACTGAATCACCTACAAGTGGAATAATGTGCTCAGGGTCACACAGGGTCACACAGCGGAAGGACCAGAACTAGACCTTTGGTTTTCTGAGGTCCAGCCCCTCAGGCTGTCATCACTGTACCCAAGTGATGTCACTACCAAGACCAAATGATAGTGGGCTCAATTTTAATTCTCAAAAGTGTGGGAGGCTAATATTTTACTTCTTGGTTCCAAAAGAAGATGTAATAAAAGTCTGTTACCTGAAGTGTGCTATTAGTAGAGTCTCCCATTTTTCTGGCATGCCCCTGGCATCTGCTCTTCTTACCTTCTCGTGGTTATAGTTAAAGCGTATAGCTTATGAAAGAAGAGAAAATAATAAATGCCCAAAAAAAGCACACATGGTAATTTGGTACCAAAACGTCTCAGCTGCCCAATGTAGCAGCTCATCCCTTTCACAGGGGTCAGATGAGCGAAAGCTCCAGGTTTTATTTTTCATTTGATTGACATACAGAAAAGCCATAGCCCTTCCCACAGCTGCCCAGGGTCTTTCCTGCGAGTCCAGAGGTCCTGGCCTGTTGAGCGGGACAGCTCTTCCCAGGGCACTCCCACCAACCTGTGGCTTCTGAACTGCAGCTTCTTTTTACAGTGAACCCCAGAGGGAAATAAGACAGACACCTGTGCTCAGGCCACCATCTCGAACTGGAAGCCCAAAGCTGAGTTCCTTACTCTTCGGTCATCACGGTTTTTGCGGGGTATCTGTTTGCAAGGTTGAGATAAACCCTTTCCTCTTTACCAGGTTGTCCCTTCCTGATGTAGGGACAGAGGCTGTTGAATGGAGGAATAATAGGTTTGCTGGAGGAGGGGCATGGTATGCCTGTGGAAAGGACAGGATGGGGTAGGGAGGTCGAGGCTTTGGCTTGGGGTCCTAAGCAAAGGTCAAGCGTTGCCCTAGTGACCTCTTGCCCAGGCAGCCCGGAGCCCCTTACACAAAGCTATTAACCTAGAGAGGGCTTTACCAGCAGCGGACTGGAGCCAGCCAGGGTCACAAGTTTCCAAGTCCAGCGTTGCTTCAGGGGCTGGCCTGAGTAACTGAAGATCTGAAAATCATTAACAAGTCGATGAAATAAACGGAAAAGCCTCTTAGGCTGTTGTCAGTGGAGCAGAGGGAGAAAGCCCCTAGGCGCTCAGAGGGGGTGGGAAAACAGTGGATGATTGGGTGGGGGTAGGAGATTAGATGTTGGCACTGCCTGGGATGTAGGAGGAGGGACAGGGAAGGTCCTACATCCCAGACCCTCACTCAGTATAAGTCTCTTTGCCTCTCTGGATCTCCATCTCCTCCTCTTAACAAATACAGGCTTGGCGATCTCTGCAGATGGCACCAACCTGCCATGAAATGAATCTGAGGGGCACCAGGGCTTTCCCATTTTTCCCCCCATCAAAATCGTACAAAAAGCAGGACATGGTGGCTCATGCCTCTAATCCTAGCATTTTGTGAGGCCAAGGTGGGAGAATTGCTTGATGCCAAGAGTTCGAGACCAGCCTGGGCAACATAAGTGAAGACTCACTCTCTGTCTTTTTGCGGAAAAAAAACAAAAAACCTTTGAAATTGCATAATCGGGCAGCGGAGACCTTTATTCGTGTACCCGTCGCTATTGTAGCACACGTGCCACCCAGTGCCTCTGCAGTGCCAAGGCGCATTGCTTCTTGATATGAGTCAGATTGGTCTCCATCCGTGTCTTTGGGGAATCCAGCCCTTGGCTGCTAAACTGGGCTGCTACTCCCTCAAAACTTAGGGGACACCAGCCGACCAGGACCAGACCACACACAGTCTGTGTACAGCACATGCAAAACTGGGTCCTTCCCTCAGTCTGAATTTGCCATTGAGCGCAAGGGGCCAGAAGCAAGCCTTGCTTCGGCTGGTGTGGAGATGGCTGCTCTTCCCCTTGGCATTTGGAGGAAAAAGCTTCGCTCTGTAGCTTTGATGTCCACATGACCTCGACGAGTGGAATGAAGCTGGCGCGCCTTAAGCGTTTCTAGAGACCGGAAGTGGCACTGGCAGGCCCCCAAGACGCAGGGCAAGGCCTCTGTCGTGGATCCTTCCCACAGACTGGCTTCACACAAGGCACTGTCCCTCGGGTTGCATGCCTCTGTGTCCATCTTACCAAGTCCACGCGTTGCGGCCAATAAGGGGAACATGCTTGGTACCGATTGCTTACTGATGTGCCAACCTCCTTACCCACCTGCCCCCCTTAAGGAGCAGGGCTGACGACAAAGTGGCGGCTGGTCAGCACCCAGGCCTCTCCTCTCCTGGGACCTGCCCAGGGCACCTGAGAGGTCCTGAAGACCCCCCCCACTTAGGCCTTCGCAGATCTTTCCTGCAAAAGCTCCTCCTGGCTTTCCTCCCTCCCCCAATCTATGGGTCACAGCTAACAGAGCTGAG